TTGTTTAATTAATGGGTAGTTCTTCCATTAAATAAAGTATGCTGTCTACTTATATTTTTCTCTCTCTTTATGTGTGTGTGCATACATACATGTGGATTGTGTACGTACACACACACACACACACACACACACACACACACACACACAATCAGTCAGCTCGGGCTGCTGTAACCGAGTCCCACAGACTGAGGGGCTTAAATAACAGGAACTTGGAGGCTAGAAGTCCTCAAGGTGTCGTCTGGGTTGCTTTCTTCTGAGCCTGTCCCCTGGGCTTGCAGGTGGCCGTCCTTTCCCTTTGTCTCCATACGGTTTTCTCTCTGTGTATGTCTGTGTCCTAACCTCCTCTTCCTCTGAGGACGTCAGTTGTATTGAATCAGGGTCCACTCCAATGACTCCATTTTATCCTAATCGCCTCTTTAGAGGCTTTGTCTCCATATTCACATTCTCAGGTCCTTGGGGTTGAATTCAACATGTGAATTTGGGGGTGTATGTTCACCATTTAGCCCAAACCACACACACACACACACACACACACACACACACACACACACACACACACACACANCGCAGTGTCTGGAGATTTACTGGGAAGGAGGCAGACCTTGATGTCTGGGAGCCCCTCCCCAAGTTAAACACTCTGCATGCTTGCCTGGGTCGTTAGTGCCTGTATGTGAAAGTCCTTATTAACTGATCATAATTTCATGTAGTATCTTCCTCATTTTGCTAGTCTTAAGCTCTCAAAAAAAAAAAAAAATCCTGGAAATCAGTAATTAAGCTGGAATGAATTTAATTTGTGATTAATTCTTGTTTAATTAATGGGTAGTTCTTCCATTAAATAAAGTATGCTGTCTACTTATATTTTTCTTTCTCTTTATGTGTGTGTGCATACATACATGAGGATTGTGTACGTGCACACACACACACACACACACACACAATCAGTCAGCTCGGGCTGCTGTAACCAAGTCCCACAGACTGAGGGGCTTAAACAACAGGAACTTGGAGGCTAGAAGTCCTCAAGGTGTAGTCTGGGTTGCTTTCTTCCGAGCCTGTCCCCTGGGCTTGCAGGTGGCCGTCCTTTCCTTTTGTCTCCATACGGTTTTCTCTCTGTGTATGTCTGTGTCCTAACCTCCTCTTCCTCTGAGGACGTCAGTTGTATTGAATCAGGGTCCACTCCAATGACCCCATTTTATCCTAATCGCCTCTTTAGAGGCTCTGTCTCCATAGCCACATTCTCAGGTCCTGGGGGTTGACTTCAACATGTGAATTTGGGGGTGTATGTTCACCATTTAGCCCAAACCACACACACACACACACACACACACACACACAGATGGTTTTCAGAAACGTTGTCACCTACATATGAGAATGAGATAAACTCTTCTATTGTCAGTTGTTCCTCGACTAAAACGAGGAGTTGGAAGCAGCTCATCTCTCAGTTCCCTTTCAATAGTCTGTGGTGTTTCTTTCTGACTTGGGCCGGGTGTGACTCCCCTTGTATTTTCAGGTGGTCATTCATTTTACTGACGGTGTGGATGGAGATCTGGCAGAATTACACAGAGCTTCTGAGGAACTGCGTCAAGAAGGTAGATTCCAAGGGTTTCTTTCTTTCTTTCTTTTTTTTTTTATCCTTTTTGTCTTTTTTACTGACCGGTAACGGGATCGCAACCCTCTGTGTTGCGCCTGTACCGGGGACC